ATATATATATATATATGTATAAACAAATGAAATATATATGTTGAAAACTAGATGCCTCAAAAAAATCAAATTACTATTTATAACATTGAATTCGAGTTTCTTAACTGTCAGAGACTATTTCCCTGGACTGCATAAAAAAGTAAGGCAATATTATCCTCTCCTCAAAGAAAAAAGAAAACAAGTAAACAACAGAAAAAAAGTGTTATTCATATGTTTTTCTAGAGAAAAAGATCAAGTAAAACAAACAAACAAAAACTGTCTGTTCTGCTCCACGAACTCAATATCAATCCAACAGAGACATATAATGAAATGAGCTTCACATACAACATAACAGGTTGTAGCTAAACATTTCCACATTGCTGTTTGAATATTAATGGACAAAAACTACTAAAATGGGCTATTAAGCTGGATTAAATACATCCAACTCTCAATTTTTAAAAAAGAATTTTTTCACAGAAAAGTGATTTTATCACTCACTTCCTTGAATATAAAAACAGTACAAAAATTCTTTAAAGACTTGCAAGCTATAAGAAGTTAATTTTATGATTCAATGGCATTAGGGGGTTAGGAATTACAGGAAGTACCAGGTGGTTCTTTATTATTTTTTAGTTGAAGAAATATTCTCAAGTGTTTTAATTGGTACATAAAAACAGTACATATTTATGGGAAAATGAGATATTTTGATATATGCAGAAAATGTATAATGATCAAATCAGGGAAATTACCTTTTCTAGAACATCAAACATTTTTTATTTCTTTGTGTTGATAACATTCTACCATTTCTAGTCACCAGCATTTTTAGTTTCCACATACTAATGATGAATTCTGAGTGATACTGTATACATTTCTAGGATTATTTTTATGCAGCAACTAATTGAGGTTCTCATCGAGGGGGTGCCTCTTACCAAGTTCTTAAATTAAATAAAGCAATGTCCATTATGTAATTACTACAGTGAAGCTCTGAAGTCACAATAAATTTTTCCGAGAAAAATCATGCATTGACATAAAAAGAATTAGCTTTGTCAAACTGTAATACTCGGAAACTTGGAAAACACAAATATTTCTTCACCCTTCGCTACATGGCTGACATGAGAAGAAGTTTCGTCTTCCACAGCTTTAAGTACTAATCTGTTAAAAGCTGATTCTGCAGTTATTTCTCAATGTGAACGGAACACGATGAAGGCATGTTTCGTCTTTTCCAGTGGAAGACCCCGCTGGCCTGCATGAGGACAGCCATTCTCGGGAGACATTCACAAGGTCGAAACTAAGTTCCTGTCTTGTGCAGAGGTGGCTGCCGACCTCTGAGGCATGGATCGTCCATGAATCACTGGTTCACCATGTGCTCCAGCACGGAATTGATGGGTATTCTATGTTCCCCAGGCCTTCATGAGTGACATGAGAGAGTAATAGTTCTCTACCATCCTAGAAATGGAAGCTGCGTTTTTTGAAACTCTTAAACTTTTATTATTTATCAGGTTGCTATAGTATCTTCCCAAGGGATTGTAAGTTTGGCATAAATTCAGTTTATTTTAACACCAGGAGAACAACTGAGCTGGAGGGGAAAACCGGGTCCATGGAAGAAAAAGGAGGAGAAGGAAATGAAGCCATTAAATGAGGCTCAGACACACATTTTCATAAATTTCCTCCCTATATTCGCAGTGCATTTGGAAAGGCGTTATTACCAATTCAGGAAGAATGAGACACTTCCCTTGCTGTTATATATGCCGAGCATAAGAAGCATAGCGTCCCCACTAACACCTGTGTGCAGGAGCAGATCTTCAAGTCTTGAAGATCAGTTGCTAACCTCTGTTACCATCTGTAGACAGACGATAGTGAGCTTAGACTCTTTTGTGTTTTGTACTAAAATACCATGGCTTACAGTAGCAGGCCCAGAATGCATACATACTTAACACACAGTTTCTCAAATTTAACTTGCCTCATTCTCATACCTATGGACACATGAGCAGGAGCGACAGTGACAGCATCAACGGCTGGAGTGGTGAAACTGTCACCGGTTTACAGCATACATTTAAAAAGGTCCATTTTGGGACATTTCTCCTACTGTGTTAAACAAGTCCAGCCAGTTAAATGGCATGGTTGCCAATGTCCCTAACATGGGATTAAAATAGCCTAGCAATGCAATGGTGTTTGGGACTTCAGCAAACATTGACTCATATATCCGCACCTCAGCCTATGACAACGGTTCAGGGACAAGGGCAGTGCTGAGAGCCACGTTGGATTTTGCCCAATGCAGCGTGTGTCTGGTATTAGGGAGCACTTGTCACCCCAGCAGTGATCCAGTGTTTACAAGGCTGAACGATAGTCTGTTTTGATTGAGCAGTCTTTCAGTGGCCAAGGATAAGCTGACAGCCATCTCCCAGTTAATATTTATGTTATACAGCAGTCAATTTAATCCTAGTACACACCACTGGTACCTCCTCCTGCCTAGAAAACATAAATATCCAGTGTCTAAATTTCTAAATAGTGGAGAATGCAGTTCTTCATTTGGACTGTTATACGTGTATTGAGTTCATTTGTTTATTTACTGAATAACTGAATTATACAAAATGGAAATGTTAGGACTTTGGGTTTTTCTTTGTGTTTGGACCCCTGACATTTTTGAATACACATAGAACCAAGCACTTGACAATAAAATTTAAACCAACAGACTCAAATGACCTCCAACAACATGATTTTTTCTTCCAGCACATTAAGATAAATCCAATAAAGAAGAGGAGCCTCTGAGATGAGAATTATTGTAGAGAGATATAATAGAAGCAGGTGTTCTCTCTGAGCTGACCTTGCTTCCAGCTCGAGCAAGGTGTCTCCTGCAGACCCATCAATGAGCTACACCTGCAGCTCAGTGCAACTGCGATCAACTGAACAGCAATGTCTGGAAATAAAAGCTCACCGCAAAGCACAGCTGCCTACCTTCTCTTTGGACCTCCACACAGTTCATCATATATTTGAATCCATACAATGATCTCATGGCTGCTTAAAATTTGCAAGAAAGTATAAGAGAATTGTTCCCACTTTATATCTCCCTTCACCCAGAAAAAATCAGTAATATTATATGAAGATAAATTAAAATTTGGCGTGGAATGTGATTTATGAAAATTGCAAAAGATGACTTGACTCCACCAAAGAATTATATTTGGAATGACTAGCAAACTTCCACAGAGAAAATGTGAGGTTTAAGTAGAATTAAAATAGCAATATAAATTTTAAAAGACATTTTAATAGTAAAACATATTAAGTGCATGGGCTGTTAAGTAAATGCGCTATAATCATAAAATATTTCAGTCACTTGTATCTTAATTTCTGCTGGACAAGTAAAATACAACAGAAGAATCTAAGATTTATGACAGGATATTGGAATATGACCTCATGACAATTTTTGCCAAAGCTAAAAGTTGAAGAAATGATTTTTTTTCTGAGTTTAAAAGAAGCAACTATTGCATGTCTTTTTGAGAGGATCGCTTTTAATTACTCTCAGTAACCTATGCAGGTTGGGCGTGAGGGCACATGCCTATAATCCCTGCCCTCCCAAAGGCTGAGGCAAGAGAATCACAAGTTTGAGTCTGTCCTGGGCAACGTAGTGACGGAGTGAGATCTCATCTCAAAGAACAGAAAATGGAGTGGAGGGGAAAGGAAAAAAGTGGGCAGGGAAGGGGAGGGAGGGGAAGAGAGGAGAGGAGAGGAGAGGAGAAGAGAAGAGGTGAGGAGAGGGCCCTGCATTCAATCTCCAAGAAAGTCAAAACCCAGCAGACTGTCAAATTCTGTCATTTATTTACATCCCTACTCTAAATGCAATTTCAAATGTTACACAGAAGCACATTTTCTGCTTTTCTACTCTTACAATATCGCTGATGCTTAAAGCTCTGTTTTGTATTTTAAAGTTTTACAAGCTTCCCTCAATTATTATAAATAATTACAGCTGTAAGAATGTCCTTATATCAGAGAGCAAATTACCTGGTCTAGTGTGTTTGAAATTCTCTCTTACATGTAAACACACACACACACACACACACACACACACACACACACATAATCAAAACTTTCTTGAAAAACAGTGGCATTTTGAAATTCATCTTTCAATCACCTCCACCGAACAAGGCTGCCTGACAGGTGCCAGATGCTTAATCACCACTGATGGGATGATGGAAAGAAAGATAGACACAGAAACGGAGTCAGGATTCTTCCAGATCCTCCACCAGGGAAACCTGCCAGTTCTGATGAACAGTGTGTTTCAAGGGATTGAAACTGTGGGACGGAAAAGACCCACAAACAGATGTCTGTCCAGCCTCTAGCACCACTTTTCTGCATGAGCAGAAGGTAGCTGCCTAAGTGACATTTTTTACCAGCACAATCAAAGAAACCCCTAGGGTAAATAACATGAGCCATCTTTCCCCCAACTGTATTGCTGACAACCGAAATTCCTTTGAGAGGGTTCTACCATTTTTCAACACTGCTCTAAGGAGTCACCAGGGGTCAGGCTCTCCCAGAAAGGCAGCCACTAACTTGGAGTCTACACCTACTATGGCGTAACCGGATGATATGTCCACTTCTTAAGAGGCGGTTTTGATTATCATGATGGAAAACAAGGTTTCCTGAGACATCCAAAGATAATACATACAAGGAGAAAATGTACAGAGTCAGAAAGGCATCCAAAATTTACTAAGGGGAAGCATGTATTTTGTGGCTATGGTTCATGATACCCAAGAGGAACAGTTTGCAGAATTAAATTTGTGATGGCAAATAATGATAGATTGTAATCATTTCTCAGTTTTGAAATAAGAGCAATTGTTACCGGGCCTGGTCACAGAGTGGCCGTATGGGGCTTTTAGCACAAAGCATGGCTGAAGATGTCCCGTACCTACAAACAGCTGGCTGTTGAGCTGCAGGCGGAAGTGGCCTTCTTCTGAGGTCCCCTTGGTGCTCCGAGGAAGGCCGTCCACCTGGAGGGAGATCTCTTTGAGGCTCCTCTCAGCCCGGACATAATGCCACTGGTCATCATTCAAAGGAGAAGGTGAGTGGACCACCAGTTCTGCAGGGCCGTTCCCAACATCAATGGCAAACATGACTTCAGAAGGAGCTAGAATCACACAGAGAAACAAGAAGGAGGAAAAAGACAGCTGTCAGTGTCTGAAGGGCACAAGAATGCTTTAAGGAGTGGGAAGAAACACGGTGAGTCAGTATCAGTGCAGTGAGCACATCCTCCTAAATCCCTGCAGCACTGAAATCACCAGCAGTGGAGACAACTACCGAATTCTGAAGGTAAACATGTTGTGCAAGCCCAAGTTGATTCTTAATCTGAATATTCAGGAATTGGAAGGGACATGGGCCGCTACGTCTGTGAAACACTCATTTGTGTAGTGGCTCTGAGTTTCCCGGATCGGCTCCGGCTGAGCTGTGCGCCCCTGTGTTTTTGTAGACATCAGGCCACTCAGCAGCTCCATCCATGCAGGAAGGAGCCTTATCGGCCAGGAAGTCCACTGCCCTCCTCCGTGCTCCATGCCCGTGATGCAGTTGTGCTTATTATTTCCGTGACTAAAAAACAAACTGAAGGAGAGGAAGTTTAATTGCCTTGTCCGAGGAGACTTCCCTACAGATTGAGCTTACTGAGTTCATGCGTCAGCTTCCATGGCTCTCTTGGTAAACATTTTGGGTGGCACAGAGGTCAGGGCGCAGACAGAAGGGACAATCCTGATGGTGATGAAATGATGACAGCGAGGAAACGGGGACGGGGGTGACGGTCATGATGGGGTTGGAGGGTGGACAGTGGATGAGAGCGGTGATGTCTGTGGTGGTGACTGGGGTGAGAGCAGCAGCCACGGTGAGGTGTTGAGGGCGGTGCTGGTCACCGTACATGACTAAGGAAGTCGCATCGTAGTAAGTAAAACAAACGTAGTCGGAGGTGCTGTGCTAGGCACACACCCTGATGTCCCAGTTCTCACCTAAACTGTCCCCAAAGTCTCAAGCGTTCAGAGGTGGGGCATTTGGAAGGTGACCGGGCCGTGGACGTGCCGTGCTCATCACTTCATGGATCCACTGGTGAGTTTACGGCTGGAAGTCAGGTTAGAAAGTGGGGCCCATCGGGTATTTTGTCCCAGCAATGAGAAAACTGATTAATACGTGTGCAGTCTCTCAGTTTAGTCTTCAAAACCATCCTATGGAAAAGACATCGCTATCCCTACGTTATGGCTGAGGAAAATTCAGACAAGTGTGAATAATTTCCTCTGGCTTTCCCACCAAGCAAATGGAACCTGATTTTATAGGCAGAATTTCTCACTAGTTTGCCCTATTGTCTTGTATTTCCCATTATTACACAATAATTTTCTAAATCGAAACTGAGTATGGAGTTAATTTTAATTGAAGAGAAGGCAGTCTTCTCTGAGCGGCTGGAATTTTTATGTGCCAGAATGTCCCTTACTTCTTGGCACCTTTTGTTACTGTCCCCTTTCCTTACCCCAAACCAGGAAATAAATACTTATTTGACACAGTCATCATTTGCCAGTATACATTTAAAAGCGCCAGTCATGAAACGCTGTCTTGGACCAATCACTGTCCAGACATTCAGCACTAATGGAAAGCTGTCCTTAGTACAGGAAGCACCTGTAAGGCAGAGATTCAAGTGACCTGGGACTTCATTTAATGAGAAGACCTGACCTTAGAGAGAAGCAGCACACTGAAGGCTGAAAATTGGAGTTTACGAGCATAGACTCTAGCACCACTTTCCTAAGCAAGTTTTCATTGCACTGCGCCTTAGTTTTCTACCTAATCATCAGTTTATATTTTAACATTAATGATGCTCTTAGAACTGTGCCTGGCACATAGTGTGTGCATGAGATGTCATAATTACTGCTGTCATTGCTGTAGTCCATAGCTTTCCTCCCTAGGTTCTCTGGCTTTGACTTTTAAAGCATCTTATTCAGACTATGAAGTCACCCTTCAACCCGGTCTTCTCAAACTAAAACATTGCTCCATGATGATCAGGCTCTACATTTGTTTTGTGCTGCAGAACACAGGGTAAAGCTTGGCTGGAGCTTGGCGAGCAGTTTGAAGGACCTTGGTCAAAATCTCCCTGCAATGCTAGGCTTGTAGATGGTAAGTTCTGTTGAGACAGCACACACCCGTGGACAGCCTGCCGCTCTGTGGCTGCCCCACCCCGCCTTCACTTTCGGTTCCTGTCTGTCGGCCACACCACGTGTCCCCTGTTCTACAGTAATCCAGTTGCGTCTCTCTCTCACTGGGCACAGGAATCCTTCCCTCATTGCAGACCTGGCACCCAGCACTAAGTGCGCTCCCAAAATCAAAATTTTATGCCCTAAAACACTGCTTCACTGCACATACGAAATTCAATTTTCAAGTTTTCTTTGGCTGGTCTTTAGCTTTATATGTATGTTTTCAATCTTTGGAAAACCTGTTTTGAAAAGTTATTGTTTACCTTTATTCAAGTAACAGTGACTTGTAATGTTTAAGCCATTCCTTCTAGACTCAAAGGAGAATCAGTAAATCTGGCAACACTAGGTAATATTTATTATTTATCATAACCTGGGCATCTACTTAGCAGTTTTTATAAACTAACTCACTTAAACCTCACTATAGTCTTACCAGGCAGGTACTATTTCACAGATGAGACAACTGAGGTCCAGGTTGTGAAATTGGTCACCCATTGTGATGGTGGAGAGGGAAGCCGGGATTTGAATAGAGGTGGTGTGGCCTCAGAGCTCATTTTAAAACTACTTTTCCTAAGAAGACAAAACTTTCAGGCTCTCAGGGCAATGAAAGGCTGGAATATAATCCCAAGCCTGAGAACAACCAAGAGGGAAATGCTTGAGTGCGTGAAGGGCATTCGCCATGCTGCCTGGAGGATTTGTTGCAGGGCACTGAGTAGAACATAAGCTCTTAGGAACCAGAGAGGCAAGCGTCACTTGTAGGACCATGGCCAGGAAGGAGGAGCTCTTAGGACACAATTAGCTGTCATACGAACTTGCCCTCTGGCCTCTGAATCTCATGGGGTCTGACAGACACATTCTCTCACTATTCACTCCTTTATGGTCAAAATTAAAATCACGCCTACCTTGGAAGCTCAAGGTCCTGAGTTCGATCTCTTGTACAAGGCAGAGAAAGAAAGAAAGAAAGAAAGAGAGAGAGAGAGAGAGAGAGAGAGAGAGAGAGAGAGAGAGAGAGAAAGAGGGAGAGAGAGAAAGAAAGAGAGAGAGAGGGACAGAGAGAGAAAGAAAGAAAGAAAGAAAGAGAGAGAAAGAGAAAGAGAGAGAAAGTGAGAAAAAGAGAGAGAGAAGGAAAGAAAGAAAGAAAGAGAGAGAGAAAGAAAGAGGGAGAGAGAGAAAGAGAGGAGAGAGAGAAAGAAAGAAAGAAAGAGAAAGAGAGAAAGAGAAAGAGAGAAAGAGAAAGAAAGAGAAAGAGAGAGAAAGAAAGTGAGAAAAGGAGAGAGAGAAAGAGAGAGAAAGAAAGAAAGAAAGAAAGAAAGAGAAAGAAAGAAAGAAAGAAAGAAAGAAAGAAAGAAAGAAAGAAAGAAAGAAAGAAAGAAAGAAAGAAAGAAAGAAAGTCAGCTCAGCCTTTGGACGGGTTTCTCTTGAGCCAAGTAGTGGACACTGATAATTCAGAGATGACTGAAATCAGACGAGCTCACAGCTTACTACTGAGAAGCTGACAAAGCTCAGGATGGAAGTTCCCTGAGCGGATGTCTACCACAGGCTTCAAGGGTGGGACAGTATGATACTCTTCCAGAGTCTGGCAGAAAATGGACCAGTGTGCCCAACAGAACATTCACTTAGCACTCATTCCATATTTTCCTGTCACTATTCCGCCCTGAGCTTCATAGAAATGGAACCATGAGCTCATGTTTTGTCTTCAACTCTTACCCAAGGTTAGCCATGAAAGCAATCTCAATGTCCATTTTGGAAAAAAAAAAAAAGAGTTTGCAAGTCTTTAACACAGCCAATTAGCTTCTCTGGCCTTCCATATCATCATCTCAAAATGAGAACTATAAACTAAATAAAACACAGTTACACTTTTGGGAACATTCATTCCTGAAAGGGTTTTGCAAAATTTAGTGAGGGAACTCACCAAAGAGCAGAGACATGAGGGTGCATACTGGATTCTGACCTTCCAGAGTTATGTAACTCCAGGCTTAATTTCTGTGGGTTTATCTCCCTCATCTACATATTAGACTATGAGTTTGGCAACAGTGATATGGTACACTACAGTCAGAACCAGAGCTGGGCAATTTGCAAACAAACGAATTCATGTACAGAATTTAGTAGTGCCTAATCACAGTAATCACTCCACAATACAGTGATTCTTATTAGTAGCGTTAATTTTTATTATTCTCTGAGGTTCTGCCTACAACATAGTCAAATTAACATCACATGTGGTAATATTCTTAGTTCAATACCTTTGCATCCTAAAATATAAATCCGTGTGTATTTGTGTGTGGCTGTGTGTTTGCATTATTTCCCACCAAGCAACTCAAAAACAGTTCTGTTGTTATTTTCATCTAATTAACTTTGAGGTAAACTACAGAGCCCACTTGAATAGATTTTATTAGATCTCAGCCATAAAAAATGAAAGAGTAAGTCTTGATCACTTAAAGAATAGGATAGCAATATATCTTTTACGAGGTCATAATCAGTACTAGGATTGCAATTGGCATATGCCCTCAAAAATAAATGGCTACTTACTAGTGCCTCATCTCTGTTCAGGTATTTTTCAAGTAAGTTACACCTTTCATTCCGACCCTGTGACTCAGAAGAGTCATTGTCAATCAGTCCATCACCAACCCCTTATGACCACACCCAGAGTGCTTTCACCTTTCTTCTGGGCTTCAGGGGAAGCTGGCTCCACTCCCAAACAGAAAGGTGGGCCTCAAGTACACGCTCTGCAATCCATCTTTTCTTTCCTCCTCACATCTTTGGTGTCCAGATGTTCAGGTGAGCTGTGTTTCAGGAGGACTGTTTGGTTAACTGTATGGAAGTGATCAACTACATGGGATGTAGCTCTCCTGTAAGCAATAGCTAGCTGTGGACCTGAGTCAATTTTGAGAAGTCAGAGCAGAGAAAGAAGTCATTTAGACCACTGATAATTGGTGTTAAATGGTTGAATTTAATTGGAAATAAAGCCAGCCCTACTTCTGCCCTACCGTGTTTCCCTCCTTGTGTTTGCCATTTCACATCAAGTTTTCCGTTAATTGCAGCTAAATACACCTGGTCGGTGTCTGAGTGGAACCAATTCCACACTGCATAAGTAAGTACTAAGGAGGTGATGAAATGTTGAGTGTGGCTCATGAACCAGCGTGAGAAGCATATATTTGGATGCACACTGGGTCCTACAGTCAAGTTTCCATGCTGCCATGCTGACTTTGGAAGACCATTTCTTCCTGCTCTTTCTCAACTAGTCCTACTTATCTGTTTCTACCTGCAACAGAGAACAAAGCTAAACTTTGTTCTTCTTTTGCACAATCCCATCTGAAACACACACACTAAGATTGGAGGGCATGGTGAGCTGTCTTTTCTTCCGTAGAGGACAAACTAATCCCAAGGTGATACAATTCAAGCATCTCATTTGGAAATGACTCAAAATGAAACGGAATGAAAATTTCATAGAGACCTGCCGTTCCCTGTCCAACAATTTGGAACCTCAACCTTGGAAGCTGATATTCTGATGATTGGAAAGGAACAGTCCTTGGGGACAGCAAAGAATTCTATTCTGAGCCACTGCATCTGTGGAAAGTATCCCTATTTTCCATGTACCAGATCTGTAGAGATCTCCTGCTATCAATTCCTCAGATAAAAATTTTATCTGCCAACAAACACATGTGTAAGTTTAGCTGTAAAGAAGAAATGAAAGACTTTCTCCCAGTTTGACATTTCCCCCTTTAAATATTAATAAGTATAGTGATAAGTTTAGAAAATAGGAAGTTCTGCAATTTAAGTATTTCTCATGTAAAAATTTATTGTTTTATAAAGTGGTATTAATCAACCCAGTAATAAGTACACTAAACAATTACATCAATGACTTTGAATTTTGTGTAAATTTAATACTTGTCTTGGCATTTAAAAAATATATTTTGTGCAACCCAAAGGGTAAAATACACTCCCACAAATTCTAAACAAATCAGACACAGATAAACTAACACTAAATCATAGTTCACTATCTTGTGATGATATATCATGAAATCGCTGTGAATTTAATGAATCAAAAGTCCAAAGGGCCCAACTTTTTTTAAATTTACTTTGAGGTCATTCTAACCATATTATGAAGTTGTTGGCTCTCAACTTCACATTTTTGGGCCTGCCCAAGTTAGGCAGGAGGGATTTTATTTCATACCAAAGCCAGAAGAGTTTCCTCCCATTAGGATTTTAAATCCTTGGAGTAAAAGGAGGTCAAAACTACAAATTAAAGAGCTCTCTCTCCTTGCATGTAGTGCAAAAGAAACGCTTGGCTGCTTGGAAGTTTGCCAGAGACACAAATACCTCTGCTACCTCCTCCCCCCAAGGCATTTGTCTCTTTTTCTGGAGCTCTCAAATCTCCAGGTTCTGTTGCTGAGACGATGCTCTTGTTTCCCAAGGGACAACATGCAGTTGCATCAGGACTGAAATATGGTCCATTTTCTTACTCAGAGCACAAGAAAATGGTGATGACACATAGAGTGTGGGGTCCAATGATAAACCTGGGTTAGCAGGGCCGTGGGCATAAAGGAAGGCAAAGGGCCAGTTCCCTCTGCTGTGAATCATGAGGGGGTGCACAGAGGGTGAAGCACCCATAGGTAATAGCAAACACAGCTAGAAATATATCCCTTTCTGTCATCATCATTCTCCAGTTATTCTACGAAATCTCAATGAAACATTTCTCCACCAAAAAGTTCTGATGTTGGTCTATGTTTAACAACTATTAAAGTTCTTCTTAATTTTTCATTATGTATCTATAAACTTCAATCAGTTAATGCTAGCAATTACCACTCAATAAATAGCATGTTCTAGGGGGAAGTTAATCGAGACAGATATACAGGGTATATCCAGATATACAGTGGGCTCCTACACATGTAGATGCAAATAAATGTTTATTTTCAAGACTGAGAACTTATCTTCTAGTTTTTCTTTTTTATAATTCCTTCACTATTATTGCTTACCTTTAATCTACTTTTGAAAAAATGAAAGGCTGCGTCCTCCATGGGGCTTGAGACAAAATTGCATTCCCAGAGAGTTTGAGCAATTCCAAACCTTTGAGAGCATTATTTTTACAGACCAGAATACAGATTTATGATGATTTTCTGGTTAAAAAATATTCTGTGTAATTATTTTGATTGCAGAGATATTTGGAAGATACTAGAATTATTAAGAAAGCATAATGCTATAATTTCTGAAATTTATTCTGAAACAAAATGTTTACAAATCATTACTGACATTTATTTTTGAAATCTTTTCTACTTGCGTATCTATAGATTTTGTGGAAAAGAAATATAATTTAAAATTAATAAAAAACATTCTTTGCTCAAAATAAAAGAAGCATGATTTATATTCTTTTTTGAGCAAGAACACGTATAGAAAATCAATTTTTGATAGTCTATGACAAATTTGCAGAAACAAAGGTTTAGAAACAGGAACTGAAATGTTATTATTACTGAAACAGACCAGTACATATTTTTTCTTTTCAAAAAATGAATAAATTAACCATCGTATTTTGTTTTCTTTCATGCACTGGAATTTATTTTCATTAACATGTCCTCATATTTATTGCTTTTTCTTTCACTTTATGATTATTAATTAATCTAATCTGGACATAAGGGCCAAGGTGTTGACAAGAAAATGTATATCCTGGAGTACAGTTCTGTGAAGAAGTGGAGGGTTTTCTAGGAGAGAGACAGTGTCTCTCTCTCTCTATCTCCCTCTATCTCCAACTCTCTCTCTCTCTCTCTCTCTCTCTATCTCTCTCTCTCTGTTGCTTGCCCTTTCTCTCTCTAGCTCACACTCTCTTTTGCCCTCACCCTCTCTCTCTTGCTTGTCCATCTCTCTCTCTCTCTCTCTCTCTCTCTCTCTCTCTCTCTCTCTCTCTCTCTCTCTCTGCGCTAGTGTGTGAACTCCAATAGAACAGTCACACTTTTCTCATGGCTGGGAAGATGTTAGGAAATTACTTTTGAAGCACCAGCACTGGGACAACAAAAAAGTAGATCTTATATATGAACAGAATGCATAACATTAATCATTTTTATTTTCTTTCACAAGTGTGTTCCTGTGGTGTGCAAGCTGAAAGTTACAGGGGGAAAAAGAAAGCTCATGGCTCAGATAATGGACCCAATGACAGGCATCCATGGGATTTTTAGAATGCACTTACTTTGATGAGAGAGTCATCAATAAGTACTGATGGGATCTAAGTCGTAAAGCACTTGGAAGAACTAGAAATTATCACTGCTGATTTTCCCAAAGCTCAGTGTGGTTAACTTGACAGTACAAACATGCACTAGTGGCTGATAGCAAAGATAAGGCAACACCTTCTTCTGTTAACCAATGAATTAATTCATCAGTGAGGGCACTTACAGCTTATTTCAAGTCGGATGAAGTCTTTAATGCCCAGGTTTTCTAGGAAAACTCCAGATAAAGCGGTGGTTTTAAAAAAGAAGGAAATGTCGGCACTGAATTCCGCATGGAAGGTAGGAAAGTGGAGATAAGAAACTTCTGTGTAAAATGAGACAGCATTCCAGAAGTGTCCTGCAAATGAGAAAATCCTTAAGTATGGCTCATGGTTTTCAATATGGGATGGAAAAGCAGTGGGCATGGAGATAATTTTCAGGACTATGGGGCACTGCAGGGAAAACGGATAAGGGACTAAAAGCACCTTGTGCTCATGTAATGCAGAGAAAGCTTCTTTCAATTTAGTACTCACGGTCACCATAGCAACGCAAGGGACCAATTCTCCAAGCAGCTTCTGAGTTTGATCTGTTGGTATCGGTGATAACTATCTGAGTGACAGGCAAGTGGTCTTTGAAGGAAAGAAAGCCAGTATCATTTGTCCTGAAAAATATAAATTTAAGAGAAAAAGGACAAAATGTGGATAATCTAGGGTCTGTATGTCAAGACCTCTCTTCACAAAGTGATACGGGCTGGTTGCTGCGGCCTAGGGCGGGAGCGGGTAAGGGCTGGAAGGCACACTTCCAAACACTGCTGGATTTTACAACCTCCTCAGTGCACTTGCAGAAACAAGGACAGTTTACAAAGACTACAGCTCTGCCTGCTCTGTGCAGCACCAGTGGGCCGCAGGTCATCACCTCACTCCCCATAAAAAGACTGGCGATCTTAGAAACCAACCCCAAATGGGCATCACCGGTCCCTCCCAGCAACCCTTGTGGCAAGTGTTTCAGTCACCTGCTGACAGTTTTAATCAGCCTTAGACGTTTCTGGCCACCTTGTAACTCATGTAAACACACATCTTTCTTTTATAGTCAGTGGTCCCTTTCCGTTTTGTTCTTCCTTTCAAAGATCTTCTTCACTAATAATTCTGACTTTGTTCTTCTTAGTTACGAAAATCAATGATTTAGTAGTTATATTTAACAAGTTTTTTTTAAAAGTAAGTTATTATTTTCCCCCTTGTTAAATTGTGTTTTAGATGTAAGGTGAGGATTATAGCGTTCGGCTGAGAGTAAATATGGGTAGTAAGAAATTGAAAATTCATATGAGTATTTTGAAGCAGAAATATGCAAGGAATTAGAGCTGGGGTTAGATAGACAGACAGACAGACAGACAAAGGGAACGCAAAGTTTTTCCCAACAAAGGTTTAGTAAGTGAGTGATGTTTTGCCCATTGACAAATGCAGAAACTGAGGCTGAGAGAGAATATCACAGGCATTAACGGTAGGGATTGAGACACATTCTCGACGTCCCCCACTAATGCAGCTCGTGCTTTAAGTGCATAGCTTTACCAGTGTGTGTGTTGGTCCTGGGCTTCCAGACAACTTTACTTCGAGAAAATAACTTCTTTCTAAAATTTTCACTATGCTCCAAGTGTACATGAAGACAGATCTGAAAATAGCTTGGAAAGGATGAAATGAGATTCTACAATAGTTGAATACGGTACCTGAAATGCGTTAAACACTCAAAATGGCAATGATAACATCTATTTTAGTTCTCTTCAATGTTCTTGAGCTACTCTGCAATTCCAAGCATGTCAACTTATTTTTTTATGCATTCAGCTGTGATTCTGTTAGATTTCTTATTATGTAATATGTGGAAAATTAAAGTTTAAGACAGATTCACTTCTGAAATTTTGAGAGAAAAATTATGAAGTTAACTTAGTTATATAAATAAGTCAAATATTTGGACACTTTCTCTTATTAAACAAAGATGTAAAGAAATGTTATACAATATCTAGAATTCAAGGACCATATTTCGAGTCCAGACATACTCAAATGATCTAGAATAAGGTTTTATTCTATGTGTCTTTATTATCTGTGTGTTGCAAGTACATCTATAAATGCAGCATAGGCACAGAGTAAACTCATCTTCACATTCCAAAATCTTTCCAAGCTGAGAAATTGTAAAACAAATCTCAAATTTCCACAGGTGAATGGAGACTAAACCTCAACTAGCGGTGCTACAGAATTTTATTTGTCTCCATTTTGGTCTTGCAAGTGAAAATGGTGTACTGTGAAGTCTGCCCATCAAATGCCTGCTTCTGACTCCTCACACACTATGGCACCTTGCCCGTATCCATGCGACGTCTTTGTGTCAAAGCATTGACGTATAAATAAAATTTCATGTGTAAAACTCCTTTCCAAATAAGAGAGGAAATATTCATCTTTAGTTAGGTGATGCAAGGCATATCACCAAGAATACATTTAATTTGAAAGCTTCAGCATACAAAAGCAAAGTAAGTTGACCTCCAAAGTTGTTTAAATCAACAAAAATAGATATGATTTTCAGTATTTATAGGAAGCACATAAGAAACACAAATGAGTGACTCCATGTCTGTGCTAGTCATAAATGGAGCCAGATACACGATTTCGGCGTGTACAGGCAGTGGGTGAGACTAGTAGAAAGTAGGTCCCTCCCAAAGTAAGTCAATGAGACCCATTAACAACAGGTATGCAACACATGAGTAAGGAATATTAGTGGAAGATTTTTCCATTTTCAAATCTTGGCAGAGCTTATAGTTCATTAAATGATAAAATAACAATATCGTGGTAACCAATACCGAGTGGGCCAATAAAACCAATGTAAGTGCTGTGTTCAGCCTAAGGACGACCTAGCCACAAAGAGGGCTCCGCATATTACTCACACACTTAGGGACACAATACGAATGATTGCATTTAACTCAAATTTGAAATCAGGTGTGATTTCAACTTTTCAAGAACAATGGATGGGCTATTTAGGATGATGGCGGTAGTAAGAGTGGTAAGGGTGGTGGTAGATTGTAGTCATGATAAAATGTTGCAAATTAGAGTGGTTCCCACTAGGAGGCAGGAAGTCCATGGCTATAAATTGGATTTAATGCACTTTGCAGACTTTTACTTCCCCTTAAATGATGTATAAGGCCCTTTGTAACTATGGCTGAGTGTTTGCATAAGTCGAGAAAGCATTCCGACTGTAATCAGATGAGCAGGAGTTGAATCATATGCCTCAGCGTAATAGTTGCATATCAGTGAGGTCACTCTGAGCCTTGATTTCCTAATCTTTTAAATGCTAATAGTAATATTAAGTGAATATTGCTGTATAAATAAAAGTAGATAATATACGCAAACTAGCTAACTCACTGCCACGTAGTAGGGACTTAACACATGGTTATTGAAATGCTCAGTAAGGTTTAGACTAAAGTGAAAACAAAGCACATCTAAAAAGAAAACAAGAGGGCCGGGGATTCAGCTCAGTGGTCCCACCGGCTGCCTCCAAAGCACAAGGGCCCGAGTTCCATCCCCAGTACCAAAGAAGGCAAGAGAGAAAGAAGGAAAGGAAGCATGATTGTTGGAACGAATGAGGGGGCCTGGCATCGCCCCACAGCTTCCTGTTTTATTTACAAGGCTACAGGATTTATGGGGTAGACCTGTGGCCCTCAAGAAAGATGCAGGACACAAAGAACACGTGGTGAAGAGAAAATTCAAGGTGTCCCACGAGCAAGGGTGTGGCACAGAACTGGTTTAATGCCATCTCCTCTGAACTAGCTGAATCTGAACTGTGGGATACCACCAGAGCCAGAGGCCAGAGAACAGGTGAACGTTGCTTTCCTAGTGTGTCCTTGGGGTGCAGTGAGGCAAAACGCTGCCTGCTGCCATGTGTCCTCATCGACCCACTTTGGCTGACTTGCTCTTCAACCTTTATTTGAGGTTATGCTTTCCCCTTTGAGGTCTTTCCCTCTTTCAATTATTCAGATTAGCAAATATTATTTCCTTTTTCGTTTGTTTGTTTGTTTTCTCTTATTGTGTTTTGACTCCTATCTTCTGCTGCTTTCCCAACATATGTCCCCTTAGTGAAGGGCTCCCCTCACCCCGCACCTTCCATTTTTCCCTGTAGCCCAACTCTCTCAGCTCACAGGCTGCAGACTTCTTTTTCCCTACCTCTCAATCTGGGTATTTTTCACTTTCTCTTCAGAGCCAGTCTTTTAAAGGAAATGTCAGTTTTCTCTCATGTTTGCCTTTTCCGCTCTGCTTCCTCTTCCTTCTCGACCTAGCTGACTGGCCTTTTTCCCTCATGCTCACGGCACTCCTCTCTTTAAATTGGCAATTTTCTGATAGCAGATCAGTGTCTAACTCATACTTGCTATACTCTGTTGTAGAATTTTACAGTATTTTCTTTCAGCCACACACACTTTTCCTAAATATTGATCAATAGCCTACCTAGCATCTCCTCTAGAAGCCAGTAGGTATTGGCCATCCATTTTCCCGTAGCTCTGTTTTCCCGCCTGCTTCTGTTCCTATCCCTTATAAATGACTCACCCTGAACACCCAGATCCTAAGGTCACAAACTTGCAGGTCTTCACTTTTTCCATTGTTTTACTTTGTCACTCATTCTTTACTAACAACTTTCACCAATGTCACCTTTAAATCTCTACTTTCAACTGCATGATGCTCACCATTGTGTCCTCAATTTTATTTTGATACCACAAAGCCTCTTAGACCTCAGAACTTGTCAGCTAAACTGGCTACATACTTCCAATCTCTCAACTCTTGTACCTCTTCTCATTCTTATTACTTCCAGGAACATGTCCTAAAATGTTAACAATAGTCGTATTTCACTACCGAAAAGTTTGTACGATGTCTATATCTCTTATGGTTGTCTTTCTTCCTTCCTTCCTTCCATTATTTTCTTTGCTTTAGCTTTTCTTTGCTTAGTTCTGGGGTTAAACTCAATGCCTTGTGAATACCAAGAGCTATACCCGTTAAGAAACCCAATATATTTGACACAATAAAGTGGACAATAAGATCATGTTTAAAATAAGAGCTTTCTTTTATAAAGAGGAGAAATTTCTGATGAAAGTGACCTGGATTGAGAGCTGATGCTAGATAGAGGTTGAACCTACTCTTCTCCGAACATAATGCTGGCAGGGTGTTGCAGCTGAGCATCTCACATTCTTGTCGCTTACTATGGGAGTGGGCTTTTCCTTTCCCCGACCCCTGGGCTCCTGGAATCGCATTTCACAGACGAGCCCACTTAATCCTGAGGGCAACTGCAGGAGGCTGTTATGACAGTAATATGCATGTACATGAGGTGGAACTGAAGTAACAAAGCAGTCACAAACATCCTCAGGCTGTACCATTGGTACTAGGCTCGGGGCTGTGAACCCAGGTCTGGATCTCGAGCCATCTGCTGGGCCACGGCACAATTTCCTGTGCTCCATCTCCAGAGAGGAGCTCCTTGAAAGCTGGAGCTAGGATTTCTCCCATTTATACCGTCTCTGGACGGTGCTGGAAGTTCAGCTTGAGGCCCTGAGTCCTTGAGCTGTCCTTGAGGGCCTCAGACTGACCATCCCCATTTTGTTCACAAGGCTTTCTTCAAATAAGTCACAGCTCAATTGATTAGGTTTCA